GGGGGGGGGGGGAGGGGGGGAGGAGGGGTGTGTTCCAAGATCCCCAGATGCCCGAAACCACAGACAACGCTGACCCATACGTGCTTTTTTCCTTATGTATCTACGATAAAACTTAACTACACGCAGGGAGATTAACAATACCTAATAGAACAGAACGGAGCAATGACCTGTAATAAACGTGAAGCGAATGTGGCTTCCCCCTCTCAAGACATCTCACGTACTGCATTCACCCTCCTTGTGCTGACGTGAGATGAAGGGAGGGGAGTGACGCAGGCACTGGGACCAGCGTTAGGCCGCTAGTGACCTTCTGATGACACGTCAGAAGGAAGATCATCTGCTTCCGGACCACAGTTGACCCGGGCAACTAACCATCAGTCAACAGAAGCCATCATGCGACAGATGTGGTGGCGGACATCCAACAGGCCCTATGTCATTCCGTCCCACCACCACGCCCCTCGGAAAACACACTGAGAGACGGTGAGCCGTCCGGGGTCACGCTCTGCCCCATCAGGTGTGTCGTTCCTGCAGAGGGTGGTTCCGGGCCCGAGTCACCCTGGGGGCCCGTGTCACCCTGGGGGCCCGTGGGCCCCGAGCACAGCAAGGGCAGCACAGCCGTGAACCGGACACACACCTTGTGAGGCAGCTTGAAGAACCAGCAGCCGGGAACATCCACGTCATTGTAAGGTCCGTTGCCATGGTGATAGGCAGGCTGGCTGGCTCTGGGGCCACCAGCAGCAGTCTGTGGGGGCCACACACCTAGATGAGGCCCTGCTCCAGCACCTGCATTCAGCGAGGGCCACGGGGTAGGGCGTGGGAAAAGGGCCTGAAGCGGCAAACAGGAAGCTGGGAGATGGCAGGACGGCCCCAAGGATCAGGCTTCCTCCTAGGCCTCCGACAAACGCCGGGCAACCCAAGGGCAAGGCAGCTTCTCCCCAACCCCCCGGAGATCTCGGGAACTCTCTGGCAGGGAAGAGCGACTTGGGCACAAGAGCAGGGCCTGGCCACCCAGCACCCACCCAGAGAAGCCCAGAGCAGAAGCCCCGCTCACCGGAGCCGGGGGCTGATCGGGGACTGCTGCTCCACAGCGCTCCTCCCTGGCCTCCGCCTCCGCCTCCAGGCAGCCCAGCTCTTCCACCTGGATGGGCCCAGGTGCCCAGAAGTGAAGCAGGGGGCCAGGCTGGCCCAGCTCCACCGGCCCCTCCCCAAGACACTCACACAGCCCAAGCCAGCCTGGGGTGAGTGACCCAGTGCCCCCAGTGTCGTCCCCCCCCCACCCCGCACCACCCCCAACAAGGCTGTGGGTCCTTGGGAGGGAGCAGAGACTCCAGAGCCCAGGTTCGGGGCCGCCCTCACCGTCTGCCACACGGCGCTGTCGTCGGCGAGCAGGAACTCCTCCGCCAGGCCTGCCTCCTGGGGCTCCGGCTGCTGCTTCCCCTGTTCAAGACAGTGCTTCCTGTACAGGGACTCGATGGCTCTGGGCAGAGAACAGCAGCAGCAGCCTCTGATTACTGGGGCCCGCTCGGGGCCGGGCAGCTCGCTGGGGGCCTTCCACAACTCCCTGTCAGTCCTCAGAACCAGCTCTGAGGCAGAGCCGGACGGCGCTTTCCCTGGTTCTTCGGGAGTGGCAAATCACAAGGGACACGGCCCACCGGTGGCAGGCTAGGGTGCCAGGGCTGGTCTGACCCAAATCTAAGCTCCTCCCGAGCACACGGCCACCGCCTCCCCTGGAAAAGCTCTGCTCCCCTGGAGCAGAGGGAGGTCAAGCCCGGCCGCCCCTGCTGGACCCCAGCCCCTTTTGTCCCAAAGACCCCGCGGATGACTCAGGCTGTCCTACAGAGCCAGGACTCTCAACCCGGGCCACGTCAAGTGCCATGGCTTGTCCCCAACACCTGTCAAAAGCTCAGGGTTTAGGGCCTTAGACAAGTCGGCCGGCTTTCCTAGGCCTTTATTCTGCCAACTCTAAAATGGGGATAACCACGGTGTCTCACGTGAGGGGAGCACCGCAACAAAAGGTTTACGAACACAGAACATCGCTTGCGCTCAGTACCTTACACTCAAGCCCGTCTGCCCTGCTGCTTCTGACGGCCCCTGCTCTGATGTTCCTGTGAAGGCAGCTGGGGTCCGGCAAGACCCAAGGGCAGGGCATTAAACCTCCACAGGGCGCCAAGGCCCGGGTGGAAAGGGCAGCCACGGAAAAAACAACCCAGACTCTCAGACCCCAGCTCTTCCCACTAGCCCGAGCTGGGCTTGCGTTGTTCAGCAGGGGGAAAGGGTCCTTAGGCTCCGCCCCTTCCTGCCCTGAGCCTAAGCCTCACCTGTAGGGGCAGGCCACCCCAGCTGATGCCAGGGCAGCTTCCGCCGGTGCCTTAGCCAAGTTGTCCCGCCGCCCGGGCACCAGGTACCCCCAGCCATGCCGCTCCGAGAAGTGCAGAGGAAAGCCATCCCAGGTCATCGCCATGAGTTTGGGAGTGACCCGCATCTGCAGGCTGAGGAGGCTAGGGCCCGGGGTCCATGCAGGGTCATCTAACCGGGGGCAGAGCTTCCGGTACCACCTACGCCCCGCCAGAAGAGAGCAGTGTCACAGTGGTGGGGGGAGGACAGCATGGGACTGCAACCCGGGTTCCTTCTCCCGTGACCTGACCCACCCATCCTCTAAAGCCCCCTGGGCTTTCTGATGACTTCAGTCTATAGTCACCGGATGAGCCAGGGCCCCATGAAGTCCCCTAGAATAATTCAAATATCTGAAGAGAAAGATCCTACGTCAGGCCCACAAGCATGGCCCAGGACTGGGCTCCCTCCCAAGCTCCATTTCGTACAGGGTGACAGGCCAGAGGAGACAGCACATCTGTCCCCACCGCTGCTCTAGAGACCCGCCAGGGCCTCCCAAGCTCCGCCTCTCACACACAGTTCACGACGGCCAGCACAAGGCGGTGAGGCACCCCGCCCGAGACGACACACCCCGGGTCACGCAGGTGCCGAGTCAGCACCCCGCTGTTCGCCCTGGCCGCCCATTTTCTCATCTCTGCCAGTCGATGAGGCACAGATAAAAAATCACCTCCTCAAGGAAGCCTTGATTTCCCCAGAGAGAATTAGGTACTGCCTCAATCCTGCTCACTCCTCCTCCTCATCGTGGTTACAAAGACCGGCTGCACTGGCCAGTCGTCACACCTGGCTCCTCCTAGAAGGAGCTCCTGGAAAGGAGCCGTGTTCCTATCTGTGCAGTGGCTGCCGTGGGCCCGGCACACAGCAGGTGTTCAGTGTACTGGTACTGAGTGAGACCAGGGAGCCGGGGGTCAGAGGGAGCAGACGCCAGGAGGACTGGAAGACAGCAGAACGGATGGCAGCCAGGCAGGAAGGGCCCACACGCACACCACCTCTGTGCTGGGGCCCGGAACACGGGAGACCCGACGGGAGGGGACAGGACTCACCCAGGGTGTCCAGGAAGGTGCTGGGGGCGCTTGGGCAGGATCTCTGCGGTCCCCTTCAGATGCTCCAAGCAGGCGCGGGCCGTGACATCTCGCTGAGCCTCCTCCTCCTCACTGGGGGGGCCGGGGTCTGCACGGGGTGGGCAGGACGATCAGGCCCGGGGGGGGGGAAGAGGCTCTCAAGAAGACCTGCCCGGCCGACTCCTCCCCGGAAGGCTGAAGCTGCCCCTTCCGATGGCCCCCTGGGGCCCAGGACCTCCCCAGGGACCACCTCTGCCCCCACCTCCCACCGGTGCTTCCCCACCTTCCTGGTCCTTGGGATCCCCAGGGGCCCCAGCCCCCTCGGTGGGCAACTGGCTGGCTGCAACTGGCTCCTTCCTCTTCACCTGCTTCACCTTCTTCTGTTTAAACTCCTGCAGGCCCCACTCCAGGTCCCAGAGCCAAGGGTCTTCTTTGTACCTGCAGAGCCAGGCCACCAGGGCAGGGGACGGCCAAGCTGAGGCAGGCCTCCGGCCGGCCCACGCACCCCTAGATCCTGCCCTCCCAAGGCCTGGCTACCTCTCTCCTGAGAGCAGCTGGCAGGCGTCGTCGGCCAGGTCCATCAGTGACTTCTTCATCTCCCGCTGGAGCTCCTCGTAGGTGCTCTGTGCCTCGGCCAGGTACCGCTCCCAGTTCTGGTTGACAGGCAGGTAGGAGACACCCATCTCCAGCATGCCGGCCAGGGTCACTGGGTGGGGACACCTGGGGGGCAAACGCCAGGGTGGTCATCAATGACCACAACAAAGCGGGCTTGGGCCCCGATACCTGAGCCAGTCCGGAAAGCCGCAGCCCAGCCACCCACGTGGCACAGCTCTTAAGCGAGACCAGGCTCTCGACTCCAGCTTGACTACGTCATAGCCGTGAGACAGTGGGCAAGTCGCTTCACCTCTCTGAGCCTCAGTTCCTAGATCCATTAGCTGGATAGATATAGGGGTAACCCCATCCTCGGGGGTAACACGGGAATTACAGATCCAAACGTGAAAATGGCTGCCACCCCCTGAATAACAGCTAAGTGCCAGGCGCCGTGCTCACAACTGGGGTGGTCCGGTACTGTCTGTGTGTGCTTCACAGACGGACACACTGAGGCTCAGAGAAACCTAGTGACTTGCCCAAGGGCAAACGAGTTAGGACAGTCAAGATTTGAGCCAGGCTAGGTGACACTTGTGACTGGCCACGCCGTAAGAGTGACTCACTGGCAAACATGACCATGATGAATGTGAAGGATTCAGATGGCCGGCTCAGGATCTGGGTACGGAGAGGGCGCTGAATGACCCAGGACCAGGCACGTGAAACTCGGGCACAGCCCTCGGCCCTCCCCTCCAGGCCTCTGTAGAAACCCAGAGCCCAGGACCCAGGTGGCCACCGATACATTGAGTAGCTCCATTCTCGCAACCCGGAAAGGCCAAGGTCCACAGCCTGAGAAAGACCCAGCACCACCTGAAGACAGAGGACCCAGGTACCGGGAACCTGCTGACCCCCAGGGTTCTCACCGGGGCCCCCCCTCACCTCTCCAAGAAGAGTGGTAGCTGCTGCTGGAAAACCTCATAGGTGGCCCACACGTCCTGGGCACAGTACTGCATCAGGTCCTGGCACAGGCGACAGGAAGGCGCTGGGTGGGCAGCCATCCCACTACCATCGCCAGGTCTCAGGGTCAGGTCTGGCAGCTATACTCCCCGGGGTCGGGTCGGCTAGGGTCTGCCACACCCACCTCCCCAGAGCCCCGCTCCAGCGCCGTACCTGGAAGTTCTCACGGATGTCCTTCATGCTACCCTTGACAAACAGCTCTCGAGGCTCCTTCTCTAAGGGAGGCCCCCCCACGTAGAGGCTGTGCACGTCTGCCAGGTTATTGACACTGCTGATGTCCAGCCAGTCCCAGGCTGAGATCTAGGGTTGGGGGCCCGGAGCAAGGGATACAGCACATCAGTCTGGCCTCGGGACAGACAAGCAGGCAGGCAGGCTGCTGAGACGGTCCCCCAAGCGCCCCGCTCTGGCCTCCGGCAGCGAGCTCTCACCACTGGGCCGCTGGCTTTGTTTTGGGACTTCTGGCCTCGCTGCGTGGGGTGCCGGGCCTTGCGCTTGCCCTGTTTGGCTGCCATCCACAAACTGCGCTGGAAGCCGCTGAGCCCCGAGATGGCCATGTGCATGCTCATGGTGTCCAGAAAGCGCATGCGGGAACCCTGAGGAGGAGAGGGGCTGCGGCTGGGGCCACTCCAGCCCTGCTTCGGTGCCGTCAACCCACCAGCCCCACCTCGGCCTCCTCCGGTCACACGGCCTTCCGACGCTGAAGACCAGCTCACGCGTGCTGGTGCTTCTCCCTCCGACCGTGATGGGCCTGCCCTCCCAAATCCGAGCCACCCCTGCAGGTGCGGGCCTGGCTCAGTCCCAACACTCAAGTCCTCCCCGGCCTCCAGCAACAGCTCTGAGGGCCGCCTTGGGAACAGAGTGTCCAAAACGAGGCCTTCCGAGCTCCCAGGCTCAGTCCCTGGCCCAGCCCTGCTACTCACAAGGCTGTGTGAGCCTCGGCTATAAGCCAAGGCTGCTCTCGCCTGCCCTTTCTCCTGGGGTGGTTGTGAGGAGGCGATGAAAGGACACCTGTCATAAAATTCAGGATGCCACAAGCACCCACCGGGCGCGGTTCTGAGTGTCTGACGTGCGCACTGTTCAAACCTCCCCAGGGATACTACAAGGCAGCTTCTGCTAGCTTCCTTTTTTGACAGATAATGAAACCGAGGCTCTAAGGAGCCTCTATCTAATCTCTCTTTTCACAGATAAGGAAACTGAGGATGTTAAGGCGCTCACACTGCTGGTCCCTGGCTGAGGCAGGATGTGAGCCCAGGCTGTGTGGCCAAAGACCCACACGAAGCTCTAAAACGCCACACAGAGACAAGACATGTTAGTACTCTGTGACGACTCAGGTCCTGTACCAGGCGAGTCCTGGGCACAAGGACCAGGGGCAAGGCTGGTCAACAGGAGGCCCTGAGCTGCTACAAGAAGAGCAACGTCTTCCCTAGCCACTGAGATCAGAGGTCTGGGGCCACCCCACACCAGAACCTCCAGCTGGCCCCAGGACCCTTACCTGGATCAGGTACTGCTCCCTGATATGGGCGCGATCAAAGCAAACGTTGTGCCCCACCACCAACTGCTCCTGCCAGTCCCGCTGGGTGGGGCCGCCGGCGCCGGCAGGGACCTCCAGAGGAATGAGGTCAGCCGGCGACAGCTGGCTGGTCCAAGAGTAACGCTCTTCCACCAGCCGCCGGCTGCACCAGGAATACCTGAGGGAGGCGAGAGGCAGACGGGTTCGGCACAGAGGCATTCAACTCCCGCCCCACAACACCCACCGCGCACCTACCGCCACACGCCAGGTCCTGCACTAGCAGCTGGGACACCAGGAAGACCAAGGGGTGCTCCTGACCCTCACAGAGCTGGAGGTCAGGTGGGTGTGTGGGAGGGAGGTTATAAAACCTTTACTTTTCACTTCCACGGATAAAAACGGAACTAAGTGCCACAGTACTGGGTGTCCAACACAGGCATCCAGCCCGGGCCATCAAGGCGCTTGCTAGGTCCAGTGTTCACAGAGTCTGTGCTGTTTATGAACGCTGTCAACCCCTCAGGTCTCTAAGCACAAGACAGCAGGTGTTCAAAATGCTAGCGAAGGAGAGAGACAATTACAACAGAATCCAAAGTGGAAAAATGTTTTTTTAGTTGAAAGTGGCAAAAAAAGAAAACAAACAAAAAACTAAAAGCAAATGCTGCACATGTACAGGATGAATCACCCAATGGCTGGACAGATTCTGAAGGACAGACCGAATCCCACATCTTGTGGG